ACGCAGGCATTGTGTAGGCCCATACGCATTCAACACGATTCCAACGATCTTCCACGATTCTAAATTGAAGCCGAAGCGTATCTGACGGACAGTATTGACTAGTGCCAAAAGTGTTTATCCTTTTTGCCCCCTTTATAGGAAGTTACAAACTTTACTCCTTACGGTAAAAACAAGGAATAGATCGTCCCGTTCTCCATCTCATTTCGTTAGAGGACCCTGCATGCCCTATTTCTTTGGGATTAAAAGCAGTATAGTCGATATTCTAGAAGAAACTGGTAGTGGATAACTGTAACTCCGACGGATCCACCATTCGCATCCCTTCTGACACCAAGGACTCAGTGCCTTCTGGCACCAAGGACTCAGTGGTTATCTGGTCTCCCAAGCAAATCTTTAAAGGAACTTGGTGAACAGTCAGATGATTCACCTGACTGCAGTAGCGCGATTCCTCGCATTCCTAATCAGTGTTACCTTGCAAACACGGTTCACGATAACTTTGAAGTACCCCTTTTGAGCTGAAAAGCGATAGCGTTGGTGGAGATTAGTGCGGTAACAAGAAAACGGGAGAATCCCCCTTGAAAAGAAGGCTTCCTGAAAAACTGTGAAAGTAAAAATCAGGGGTTGTACGAGAATACCATGACGGAAGCAGCATAGAAGGGATATTCGGACGAGATTTCAGTCGTTGCTATGGCGTCAAGAGCTGATCCCACTAAGACGAAATATCAAAAGTTGCTATTCCCTGACACCATGGGTCACGACTAATAACCTAAAATTCCAAAAAGGTGGATGGTGCAGCCTCTAAAACGCTGTTGAATCTCGTCCACCTTTCGGTGTGGCATACAGCCGATACAATCTTTGAGCCTCATAACACCCTATTCAGGTCCTTCTTCCATCTAACAGGGCATCGGTATAAGGATGGGCTATGAGTTCATCCCAAAATAATATCTAAGGAACCATTTATGTTGCGAAGCGTTCCTTTTGAACTGCACATTTCAGTTTTGTATGCTTTCGAAAAATGTAAAAAAGGCACTGAATCGAGGGAATTTGCGGAAAAAATCGCCCTAACTAGATCATCTCCTCCTCTGTAGCCTCGAAGCTTGGTGCTACGAATCAGTTTACCCTAGATGGGGTCATCGTAAAGTACTACGGTGTGATCCCCTGTGTACTGTTTGTTATGTAATTCATAACGGCTCATTGTTTATTTACAATTCACCTTCCGTATTCAGCCGTTGTTGCGCAATCTGACAACCAATCCATGGTTTACAAGTGGCTGTGGATAGTTTGGTAATGGCAACAGTGCCAGCGCTATGACCCTCACTGGCCTTGGCTACTTAACTAATCCTTCCTTCGTCATTGTTTATCGTAAGTACCACCCAGTTCAACTTTCTGTGTTTACAGTGGAGTACTTAGGCAATGAATACGGAATGGCTGCTATAAATAGAATCTACAACTTTCATTGAGTATTGATCGATGTTTTGGATTGATCAAGCTACAAACCACTCAAAACGGATTTGTATGAACGTTGTATGCGATCAGGCAGCTTCATAGTGATGGAGCTTCGTTTCCAGAACGCTCTCCGGTCAAGCCTGGTGCTATTCCTCTTTATGACTTATCCATGAGCAACAATGCGCATTCATTCCTCATTTTTCGTTTTCCCAACTTCTCCACCTCCTCACTGACCAAATTCCTACTCTTTTTTCCCACACACCAGTCATTTGAAGCTGTCCTGCAGCTGCTTGAATACAAATTCAGCTAACAAGCAAAGGTCAAAAGTATGTTTGCTAACTGAATTAATCGCCCCTATTGCGGTGGCATCATTGCCTGCCCATGAGATTGCTCACTTGAGCGTTTAGAACTCCTTTAATGAAATCGACCATGCAATTTCTTTTTACCCACTGCACCATCAATAAAACGAAACTGTGAAGAACACAAAGAAAATTGTCATTGGAATTTTGTGTTTCGATAAAGTATTGCCAAATTATGTTGGCATCAAAAATGTGAAAATGCGATGTTAAATGGGAA